TGTTATGTCTTTTACACTTAACCCACATGTTCTATTCAGGATCATGGAGACCCCAGGCCCTCTTTAATAGCATCAAAAAACTGAACTTAACATTGTTTTCTCAGTTTAACACCTCATGACCTTTTTCCTAATTTCATGAAAATTGCTTTTAAAGCTGATTGTCAAGTAATGACATGTTGAAGCAGTCTGCTACAGACAATGACACACGACATGGTTGAATACAGTGGATTTTCATTTGCTCTATATGTGTAATTGGTGTTGACAGCTGACAATACCCCTCCCAAATTCCAAACAACTGGATTTGGATCATTTGGTCATTACAGGGGGTTTGACCTCTCTGGAGTTAAAGTGACCCACTATGCTGGAGAACAGACTGTGCATTTCTTTGTCTTTCAATAGTCTTTTGGCAAGTAAAAATAATAATTTCTTCCTACATAGCCCATATAAAACATAAAACATGAAATATTTCCTTTTTTAGTGTAATAAGGCGTTTGTGCGGTGTTTGTCAGAAGAATACAAAAGATTTGTATTCACAAGAATACAAAAGGAACATTTGATTTATTACTATTACATACAGTAATGCGGACCCCAAACAAAAGAGTAAAGTATTACTCTATAGGCCACTCTGTGAGTTCTTGGTTTGGTGGGATATGAGATGGCCACCTTTGCAAGCCTACCCACTTTTTCATAATGCAAATAAAGGCCTTGTATAGGGGGTTCTCTCCATCTCTCTCTCTCTCTCTCACACACACACACACCAGCAGCCCTCCCCACCACGCAGATGGCCCAGTCTTTAAACCCCGCCTACAGTCTTTTGTCTTCAGGGAATCTGTCTGTTGGCTGTCGGTAGAAAAACTATTTATTTCATATGTCAGTAGGGGGCGTGATGAGGCTCTGAGAGTCTACATACAGACCTAACGCTCATTGTAAGCAGTCTGTTTTGGATAGCCGACACATACCCAAAAACATCCCATTTCGCAGTTGAGAACTGTTTGTCTTACTCTACATATTTCTGTAAATATGTAGCCTATATCTATAAAAATAGACTTTCTCTATATCTCTTTGGAGGGGATAATGAAATGCAGGCCACCCACATATATACTAGTATAGCCTAGGCTTACACACACACACACACACACACACACACACACACACACACACACACACACACACACACACACACACACACACACACACACACACACAAGCTCAGACCCCTCTCTTCAGCTCAGCAATGCTGTGTGTGGTGTTCTCTTGCAGGCCAAAAGATAGATAGATAGAAAGATAGATAGATACAAGAGAGCAGGGGCAAGAAGGAGCGGGGAGAGAGTGAATCAACAGATAGAGCGTGGAAAGGAGCAGAGGAGAATGGTGGATGAGGATGAGGCCTCTCTCAGCACAGCGAGCCCTGCAACACAGAGTTACAACACATAGACTGGACAGCCACCCTACTTTGTCATTCTACTGAGACGAGATGGTTGTACAGTGGGTCAATGTCTACGGCCTGAAAATGTCTGGTATCTGTTGTGGTACTTCCTTATCTGTGCAATAAGTGGAAGTGATTTATAAAACGGATTGTTTTCAAACTATGGTGGAAGGCCTCACAGCTTTCACATCTGATGGTGAAGCATCATGAGTCAACCATCAACTCCACTAAAAGACCTAAATTTAAGATTTCAGTGGAGACTTTTTAGCCTCATTTGATAATCTACTATATATGTTGTATCACAGGCTTTCCCTCTCTAGTAACAACACACTTCTGGTATTTTCATAACAGTGACACTGAATAGTATTTGAAAAACTACTTGGCACATTGGCATTACATTTGCTCTGTATATTACAGTATGACCCCTAAAGTATGATCCCTTCTGATTTTAGTTACCCACTGACCTTGTAATAGCTCTACCTTCAGGTCAAAATGTCAACACTTTGCAAGACACTGTATCTTGAAAACTAAAGGCTGGATTGTCTTGTATTTAAACTTAATATCTCATAACTCCCTCTCTCTAACTGGCAGATGGAATTTGCTAAATACATTCATGCTCCTAGGGGGAAAACCTATATACCTAGCTTTTCTTTAGCATTATTTTACAGTTTAGTTCCAATATTATTTAGGTTCTCCAAAAATACACAGTTCTTTCCAACACTTAGGTTGTGGGTTATATTAAACACTGCAGCCTACTTGTGGCACCAGAGATCCTTTAGATTACACTATACTAACAGTCTCTAACGGGCTGTTTCTGCATTACACAAAAAGCAACAACCTTTGTTATACTAAGAGCAAATGATACAATACTTGTGGCAGTCAATCAAACTGGAACATTACAACAAATTAAACATTCCAAAAGACAGCAAAAGATTTCTTGTTGTCTGTTTGTTTTGTTCAAAAAGCTGTTTTCACCACCATCCACATTTGTTTTGTTTTTTCAGCTATGAGCAGCTCCTCCATTTTCTTTGTGCAATGCATTGTGGGAAAATAGTGTGCATAAACAGCACACTCAAAAATCTGACACAAAGCTTGTGTCAGATTATTGTGAGTTATATGGTGTGCCAGTGCAACATAGTGACAATGTCTTGGAAATCAGTGCATAAAAATCATGTAATAATGATTTAGCATGGCAGAAAGCATAACATCTCTAGATGAGGACTGTGCTGGACATTCAGACACATGACGGTCCTCCTATATGACAGAAACGACTTGATAAATACAGAGTTCATTCTATCACATCTGATTCTACACCGTCAATCTCCTGAGATAACAGGGAAAGTCAGAGGATTCATAGAGAGGGATGGGAGTCAGAGTGAGGTGTAGGGGAAGGAGGGACACATTTACCTCGACAAAAGTGAGAAGAGCTGACAGATAGACAGGCAAGAGGAAGGAATGAGACAGGTAGGGAGAGGGGGGAGGAGGAGGGGAGGTAGGGGGGAGGAAAGAAGTGGAAAAAAGAGTGAGCTAAAGGGAGAGTGGGAGGGACACTCTTCTGAAAGATCGAAGAGAAACGAGCGAGAAGAGGAGGGAAGGGAGAGAGAGAGAGAGACGGAGTGATGAAGGGAGAGGAGGACAGAGGGAAGAAGAGGAGGAGGATGAAAAGAGAGCTGGGAGGTGAAGGGAGGGAGGGAGGGAGGGAAGAGATGTAGCAGTTGTTCATTAGTGAGGATGTGTTAGGGACTGGAGAACTGAGCACGAGGAGAGACAGTGGAATGGTGAGTTTCATGGACACTGACTAATGAGAGGAGAGAAGGAAGCAAGGGGAGAGGGGAGGAGAGGAGGGGAGGGGGTGTTAGGGGTGAAAATGGGACTGGAGAGGGAGGAAGAGGAAGGGGGGAGGAAGAGGATAGGAAAGGAGGGGGCTGGAGGTGAGCGAAGCGAAACTGCTTTACTGTGTCACCGTAGGGGGAGGATGGGGGGAGGGGAAGGGAAGAATTTGCACGTACGCACACTTTGCACACACACACACACACACACACACACACTGTTGAAAATGAAACCGACATGAGAGGAAGATGGCAAGAGAGGGAGACGGATAAGTAGCCAGAGAGAGAGAGAAAGAGGAAGGAAGAAGAGGGGGAGGAGGGGTGAGGCAGGAAAGGCAGAGGAGAGGAGCCATCAGTAGAGAGAAAAAGTGAGGGGGGTGTGGAAGAGCAGAGGAGGGAAGTGGAGAAATATTAAGGAGGGGAGGAAAGCGGGGGAGGCAAAGGAAATTGGATGGCGGAAAAAGGATGAAGGCAGGGGGGAGAAAAAAGAGAGAGGAGGAAGAAGGAGGAGAAACAAAAACAAAATCCAGAAGGGGGCACAGACAGTGAGAACAGGGAGGACAGAAGGGGAGGAAGAGGAGAATTAGGGCAGATATTCAGGAGGTGGAAGGAAGAGGGAGAAAGTACTGGAGAAGGAGAAGAGAGAGGAGCAAATAGAGGGAGATTAAAAAAAGAAGAGGGAGCAGAGAAATAGAGGAGGTACAGACAGAAGCAGGAAGCAGGACTGTGGAGAGAAAAGGGGGTGGGTGACAAACAAGAGAAATCAAATAGGAGACAGATGAGCGAACGGGGATGATGAAGAGGAGGTGGGGAGAAAAGAGGAGGAGGTGGTGATGCCAAAGAAAGTGAAGAGAGAGAGAGAAAGCTGGAGGCGTGTGTAACAGGCTGTTACATGTCAGCAGCAGGTTCTGTGTGTGCCTGTTATTGTGGGGTCTATTGTGTTTATTGCCAGCATCAGGTGTGAGGAATCCTGCTACAGCTATCACTGAAACACTCACTATTCTACTCACACACACACACACGCGCACACACACTCATCCACCTGTGCACTCACACAGACTGATGCACATGCACACACAGGCACAAGGCAGAACTCTTTCAAGTGCTCGACATTTTAAGTAAATAAATAAATAAATCAGCAAAGTAACAGTGAGGATATGTATCTGAGACCTTGAGATCTTGAGGACACGTTCACTCTCTCACGTACTCACGCACACACACTCTAACACTGACACACACACACTAGGTTCAATTGTACCCCACTCTCCTGCCCTTTTCTCCACCATGCATACATCAGTACAAGTCTGGACAGACTGCCTCAGCACAGAGATGCACAGTTGACGAATCCCTCCGCAGACACACTGGAAAGTAGTCCCTAATTTATGGGATGTTGATAGATGGCCGATCATGACTGTATAAAAGCTAGGCCCACTATTTCTACAAATATAACTGCGCCTCCTTTCGCCTTCAGTTTAAACGAGACTATCTGTGGATAATAATCATAGTGTGAATTAGCACGTAGGCAGTTTTAAAAGCGTATTTTTCCCCAAAAGCCTTTCAGCACGACCATCTGATGCGAAATAAATCACTCTCGCGTGTCAAATTACATGTTTTGCAGCATGAATCCAAAATCAAGAGTATACTGCACTTAGTAGTTTAACAGGACTACTTTTCGTCAATCCAAACGGCTGGTTGGTTGGGAGAGGCGAACGCATCGGGGCGGATGTCCACCTCACTTCTCCCCGGGTGTTGTCCGTCTCCCCGGCTGCTACCATCTACCCGAGCAGTTCACTTCATTGTACTGACGGTGCTCATCAATTAGGCGAGAATTAAGCCGTTTTAGATGCAATAGTAGTCTTTGAGCGCTTCGAAAGGGATTATAAACAGCCGGAAAGAGACGCAGATAAGTTTTGAGTGCGGGCAGGCGGAGAGGAACGAAACACAGGTACAGTGTGACTGTTATCTCGACTTCCAACTAGTCACGTTACTAATGTAACGCGACGGTACTAGCCGCAAGCTAACTGGCTAAGGTTAGCATCCCAACGACCAACTGGGTTTGACTCCAGGTTGCACTTTGGTGAGGGGGGGAATGTCGCCTGTTTCTTTATTTATTTCATGGTTCAGCCTCCTTAAATTACTTGGACCGTTCAAGGGGCTACTGTTTGCAGCGACAAGAGCCTGAAAGAGACCACCAACTTGAGTTTTGATCATCCAGAGAGCGAGTTTTTTTTACTCCGCGTTAGTAATAGTAACAGCAACGTACGCGTGGGGAAAACAAAAGGACTTCAAAGTCTGACACACACAACACAGATGACTGCTGAGGAAAGCTGTGAAGATATTGATTAAGCGAGCAAATGTAGGTCAGGTAAAGCACCGGGTGCCAGCTCTTCATTTTTGCAGAGGTTTAATGTTAATTAATAATTAACTAATATGCAGAAAACAAAGCTTTGGCGGATATAAAAAGGGAGTCCCCGTACTAATGTTATAGTGTTAACGTTACCTTTACCAAATACAAAAAGCCACTATAAGGACTCGCTAAACTTAGTCCTAAGATCCATGAGCACATTATCAGTCACTTCAGGAAGACTACTACTGCCAACGTTATGTATCAGAATGAGTAAAACCATGATGCATAAGAGAGGAGAGTTGACTCAGACTACACATTTCGAGATATAGAAGATACAAGTTATTATGTTTTTTTTTTTTAGACATCAGCCTGAACCAGGTTTATCAGTATGTAGTATGGATTGGTTCAGTGCTGCATGGTGATCATATCAGATATCTAAATTTAACTAAAGTTAAGGTGCAGAAAAGTTACATGTGGTGGTGAGAGGTCGTGAAAATGAAGCACAAAGCGAGTGTTTGAGAGATACGTGTTACTGAAACTAGACCCTTCCCAGTCGGGTTAGCAGTTATGTGTTATAGTATTATAGTTTAACTCTTATTGCTCTTAACAGTGGATGAATCAGATGGAGATCCGAGGCTACCGTAGCGGTGTGCGAGGCTCACATCACAGCTCTCTGAGGATTACACGTCTTCTTCTCCTTTAGTAGCTTCAGCGATTGCGCAAACGTGAGTACATCGAGATGTGCTCACGTAAACCGAGATGTGTGTAGGTTTGGATGGCGTGAGTTTCCAGTGAAGTTAGAGAGGGGGGCAGCTGTTGGGGGGGCCACCGGGAGCCGCGATAGACAAAGACCCCCAGAGAGCCTCAGACATTGTATTGTCTACCGGAGTTTGGTAGATGTGATTTAACCTCGCGGGTTGTAAAGATCGCCCCCTTGGTCCCTCTCCACGAGCATATCTGATCACGTTTAATCAGGAGACTGGGTGAAGTAAGTTCATGTCGCCCTTCTGTCGTGTAACTCCGCGGCCGGGCGTTTCGGAAACTGGAGATGAAGTTGCTGCTGTGATGGTGAGTGCGAACAAGTGTGAGCCTTTACGACTTGGCGCACTTAATTGGTGTTTTTACTCCGATCTGTGCGAGTGATAGTGATAGCTGTCCTTCTTTGTTTGTGGTCACCTGTCGTTTGTGCACGATAAGGGCGTTTTGCTGGGTAACTTTCTGCTGTGTGAAGCCGTGTCCTGAGCTGACTGTCTAGTCTTTTGTGTTACTGTGCGAATCGCTGACCCGCCTGGGAGACAGAGGAAGAAAACGAGGCTTGGTCAAGTAATAATATAGCGCAGACTGTGGATGACACTTAAAATGAGAGCCCCCCCTTCTTGCAGGAGGGCCCTCATGTTATCCATGGCACGTTATTTTTATTATTTATTTTTTTATCCACGTTGTGGCACTGGTAAGCTGTGCTGATGCATTGATGTTTATATTGCAGACTGAACATCCTTATTGTTGCAGTTGAATAGACAGATATAAAATATCCACATCCCTTTTATGTCTTTTTCACATTCACTAAAATGTGGAGGGCTGCAACTAATGATCATTTCCTTATTTATTAATCTCATGATTATTTTCTCGATTAATGATTTGGTCTACAAAATGTCAGAAGCCCAAGTTAACATAGTATTTAGACAGCTTGTTGGGCCCAACCAATAGTCAAAAAGGAAATATCATTCCCTGTACTATCATAAAAGAAAAGCAAATATTCATATTTGAGGCTGAAACTAAAGAGTGATATGATTATGATTAATCTATAATAAGATTTGTTGTGTATTCTTCTCTGTCAGTCAACTAAGCAATCTATTTGCTAACGCCTGCTACTTTGAATTGCTTTGCACTGCTGCTAAAAGTAATACTCTGAATGGATATGAATAATGTTTTGTTATATTTTCATTATTTATTAATCTGCTGTTTATGTATATTATGTTAAGTCGATTAATAGCCAGCCCGGTTTCCTTGAGACATCTTCATAAAATCTGTAAAACCTAAAGGTATTCAGTATATATTCTTTATATATCTATATTCAAAGCTGAAACAAGGAAATATTTGACACTTTTGCTTAAAAAAACGACTAATAATAAATCAGTTAATGATGTGCCTGGCCAGTCTGCTGGATCGATATCACTGATTGACTTTCAGCCATTTTACTGACTTTATGTGGATGGGATATAGGCCATAATGTGACTGATAAATAAAGTTTCTTCATCAGCGCCACTGTAAAATTCATTGTTTCTGATGTCCATTATATTCATTCAGTCATGGCGGGCTGCCAACTCAGCTTTTAGTGCCACAGCAATCCCTGACATCCTGTTACCTTACATAATAATAAACCACTCTGAGGTATACAGATTTAAAATGTGGGGAAAAGAGAGTATTGGTATGGCATCGGCTCACACACTGCATCAGCAGATACCCTGAGTTGAGGTATCAGAATCGTATTAGTAGCCATCTGTTGTGTTTGTGGGTGGTGCCCCCATGACAGGAGCATGCTCTTTATTAGCTGGAGTAACAGAGGAAGACTTGAGTTAATCAGCCCGGTCCTGTGATGAACAGGATGAAGAAGCGCCTCGTGTGTGGAGGTGCTCTTGAGGTCAATACTTGAGCAGAAGAAGATCGGATCTTAAACTTGAGCTTAAATCCCGCAATTAGTAAAAGGGGTGTTGTTAGCCAACAAATAGAGGCTATGTCACGGCATCTTAATCGCGCTATGCCCTACTGTACTGAAAACGGTGCAAGGTCATTTTGATTAGAGAAATAGTAAGATGTAAGGTGACGCTGAGAGCTACTGAGTGACAATGGGGTTCGGCGAGAGATAACTGAGAGATGGCGAGTGTTAATGAGTTCTCATGCTGGAAGCCAGTGTTTGGAAAATCAGCTGGGCTCAAGGGAACATGTCAGGAGTGCTTCGAGTGTAGCAGCATTATAGTGAATGAGATTTTATAGGGTCTCAAGTTGGGCTGGCCGATACAGCAAAAAATGTTATCACGATAAAAAATTACATCTCATTCGATAACGTTAATTATCGGGTTACTTTTGGTTTTAAACTTTCTTTATGGTCAGAACAAACACTTGATGCCAAACAGTGGATCACTTCATAAATCTGAGGTAGAACATTGATAACAATTATGATTTCAACAATTCTGCATCAATAAAATCTTTTTTCAGTCTCTTTTCCTCAACAAAATAAATATCTAAATAGAAAAAGTGCTACTTTGTGCGTAATTCAAATGAATTAAATCAAACATTTATTAAACTTTTGCTATATCGTTATTGAGGAAAATTAAATCGCAATAGTTATCAGTATTGTTTCATTACCCAGGCCTGCCTTGTCTCAAGTCAAAACATATCGCATGCAACTGGCAGATTGAATCTTAAGACAGAAACTGTTTTGTGTACGTGAAGGGGATTGTATTTTTAGGGTCTGTTTGTTGGTTACAGACATGCCCTCCGTGATGGAGCGCTCGGGGGCCGGGGTCCTGTCCAGGAGCAGAGCCAAGACCGTAACCAACGGCAACAGCCAGCCGCACTCTGAAGAAGAGAGCAGCGATGAAGAGCATGCTCATGGTAGAGAGACACACACACACTAAACTGTATAATCTGACTTCATCTGATTTCTCTGGCTATTTTGCGGCTTGATGCCTGGTTTCTGTCATGAAGCGTGTGTACCTACAGTCGACACACTTCCATCGAGACGTCATCCCAGCTGTTCAAGTTGCATTCATTGCATTGCTGCAGTGCTTCTGTCGTCCCCTCCTTCTCTCTCCCCCCCTTCCACACTCCTTGTTTCCTCTGCCCACATAAATCTTCGCTTCCTCCATTCTGTCCTTCACCCACCGACTTGCTGTTGATCTTTTCATTTTTTTTAACAGTTATCTCACTCGGCACACAGACTAAAGATAATATTATAGATCAAACACGACAGTTTAACTTAATGTTCAAAAGCCACTTCAGCACCCAGATTTCCCTAGATGATTAAGGTCTGAGACTTAGCATCACGAGCCACCGTTCCTATCATTATTTCATCCTGGCCTCCAACTCCTCCATCCCCTTTTAGCCTGTCAGTCACCTCTGTCTTTTTCATCAATCCCTCTTTTAATGCTCATTCTTTTTCTTCCACCCAATATAATTTCTCCGTTACTCAACCCTTCCTGCCTCTCTCCACACATTGCTTACCCCACCCCCCACCCCCCACCCCCACCCCCCCACCCCCCCACCCACACCCCCACACCCCACACTGTCTCCTCCTTCCTGTCCTCTGTCCTGAGGAAACTAATCTGTCTCTTCCTCCTCCTGGTCGGCTCTTCTGACTCTCTCATCGTCTCTCGTCACTCTCCGCCGTCCACGCTCTTTGCCACAGCACTAATTACTCTGTCTGCCATCCGCTCACACTTTTCCTACTACTACCTTCCCCCCCCCCCCCCCCCCCCCCTGTCTGTATATCTTGTCACTTGGTGATGAGCGATATGTTGGAAAAGTTATCACGGTATTTATCACAATATATGCTATTGTTCTTTTGTAAAAAGAGACAAGTTATATGCTGTGATTAAAAACAATTAAGTAAATAGAGTGAAGATCGAAGCAATCAGCAGTTCCTAGTCTTTTTAAACTATTAGAACCACTATAATTTAAATAGTTGATTAAAAGCAGTCTCCCTGTGTTTTCCTCTCAAACTTCAGGACAGGAATGTTTTCACTCTTGCAAACTAATTACATATCCCCTGGGTTTCCCACTGCATTTAATAATGGAGGTGCCCCGCCTCGACTGAAATAAAGAGTGCCTCTACCTTTAATTATCACATTTTTATACAATAAAATATTAGGCTAATTTAGCTTGATGTAAAACAAGCAGTGGCAGTACTTTACACATTTATATACATATAATTGATTGGATTGTGTAAACCGCCACCGTGAGGTGGTTGTGGCTGTGGGGATGGATAGTAGAGACAAACAGCACAGATTAGTCACAATCAAGTTCGGATGTATGAGAAGAAAATTAGACTAAGGATTGGATTCAGCGGTACATTTTAAAAGATCAGTGTCAGCTATAATAAAGCTGATCAAAATCTTATCCTTTCTTTACTTTATTCTAGTATATCATGTCCACCTCTGCGTGCAGTTCTGCTCTCCTTTACTAGTGCAGCATTTCATTGCATATGAGAGAGAAAATTAGTGTGTTGAAAAATTATTATTTTATTATTTTATTAATTATTTGGGCGCTCTGGTGATAGAGACACAGATTCGCTGAAGTATGATGCTAATTATCGTTAGCAAAGCTCAGTGTCTAAACATTTAGGTAGTAGCTTCTTGTTTTAGCCGGTGCAGTGGCGGCAGCAGGTCATATCCACTGTTGCTTATTAATGTTAATTCTGTGATTAACGTGGTAACGGGCCAAAATAAAACTTCTGTTGTTGGGTGAAAGAGCTCTGTGCAAGCCAGCGTCTGTACTTAGCCAATTACGTCACTTTCAGGAGACGCATTCACCCAGTTATTCTTTAATTTAGATCATGTCAGTCTAAAAATGTAAACTTATAGACGTAGTATTTTTGAACCAGGATCTCCATTATATTTGGATCAAGTAGCTCGTGAAAAAATTTGAGATCGGTAGGGTACAGCAGCTGTTATTTCAGTGTATCAGATATTTAGTCAACATTTTGGTTTATAAGTATCAGTGAGTACTAATAGGTACAAAATATTACTATTACTGGAAAATGATTAAGCTGATGCAGCATGTTGTCATTGAAAGAAATAACAAAGAATTTACCTGGTTGTTACTCTAGTTGTAATAGGACGTGCTCTGCCCTCTTAACGGTTTATTTGATCCTTGACAGGATAAAACAATAGTAAAGCCTGTTAGAGGGCAGGGCATGTATGAAATAGAAGATCATGATCACTGTTATTTACTGTGCCATGAATATTGATGACTCTCCTTACGTCTTTTCTGTTATCTGTCTTCTTATGATCCGGTCTACCCAGCTCTGCAACTTTAAAATTTACATGAATACTTGTCCCCCATCCTCTGTATCTCTACAGCTCTACCCATCCTTCTGGGAAATAAAAGCTCATATTCGTCTTGTGTGGCTCTCTCTGTCTCTTTCTCTCTACAGACAGCATGATCAGAGTGGGAGGAGACTACCAGGCTCAGATCCCAGAGTTCAAACCAGGTAAGTTGGAAGAAAGAAAAAAGCTTGAGAGAAAGGGAGATGACAGAGGGGAATAAAAAGGAGGGAGGAAATCAGGGCTGAGAAGGAGATGTAGAGGCGAGGAGAAATGTGGAGGACATTGAAATGGAGGGAGATGAGAGAAATGAAGGTCAAATGACCAGTGTTAATGTGGAAATTGAGCAAAATGGACAGAAGGGAACAGAACATAATGTCTATATAATGTCTCTTCCACCAGTTGTATGTAAACAAAAATAATTAATTTACAGTTTTCTTCCAGATGTTTTACCATACCTGTTTAAATACTAAATCATCATTTAAACAGTTTATTGTGGGGAAACAAGACACAAAACCCCGAGTCATTCCTATGGTGATAACGTATGTGTGGCATATTGAAAGACCTTAAAGTCTTAAAAGTTAGAAAACGTGTTAAATAATTAGTATCACTAGTGACACATTTACTTTTTGCTAATCTGCAAAGTAAACAGTATCTGTCTGTATCTATAGCTAGTTAGCTCGGTTAGCTGTGCTGCTAGCTGTCCTATCAGCTGAGTCAGCCCCAGCGTGCCAAGAGCCAAAACCCGACAAGAAAACCGCCTCGGCCCTGTATTTCCTGTCGTCAGACTGTGTCCATCTCTGAGGCTGTGTTCGGTCCCGGCCGGCCGCAGTGTTCACTCACTGAGTGCTAAGCTAATCAGTCAGCACAAAGCCTGCATGACGGGGAGGGGGCGTAACGTCCATTCAGACTATTGGCTACTGTAAACGCCAGTCAATATCTGCAACAAGTCCCTCCCTGTCTTTGTGTTTTTATGCAGAACCAAACAGCACATTAATAGGAACATCAAATCAAAAAATGTATTTTAAAATCTTATAAGAACAAAGTGAATCGATGTTGAATTGTTGTTTGAATGAATCATTAGTCAACATTGTATGTGACTAATAAAGTAGTGTTGTTTTTCTCTTTTAGACCAATAACTTAAAAACAAAAGTCTTAAAAACATGAAATAAATCGTGATTTTGCCATATTGCCCACCCCTAAACCACGGTACGATCCAATCCGTGAGTTTTGTGTTTTTTTGCTCCGTTAAGTGCAATTTATACTTCTGCGTCAAATCGAGGGCGTAGGTGACAGCGTAGGTTACGGGGCTGCGGCGTCGCCTGATGTGCACCTCCTCCAAAATGTAACTACACGTCGAGTCGACGCGGACCAAAAGCCTGTGACCGGTCGGCTGGGTAGCCTCGCGATGCCTCCGAGCCGACCGGAAGTATCCGCGCTTTTAGTAAAGTAACATTTACTAGCGGCCAAAACGACTGCTGTAACACAGTGAATCAATATTTTGACCGTCGCAACCCGAGCGAAATGATCGTTTCGCTATCAGAATGTGATCCATTCGGTCGGTAACATTTGAAAAGGCTACACCAGCCGCACGTTTACAATTATACCCCCATTTATGTTAGCGGAGCGATAAACTGTAAGTTAGTCTGCTAGGCCGGCAAAGGTCAACACAGTGGACGCTGTAGCGCTGCTGCCAACTAGCGTTTGGGAGTGTAATTGCAGAATGACGGACACACCTACGCACAAGTATAAATGGGCCTTTATTCATGAGGAATGGGGAAAAAAAAGTTCTGTAACTGCTCAGTGAACACCTGATACCTTGCGTGAGCAATACTGTAGTACCTGTAAAGTGGCTGAACACTAGTGAAACAGTGACCATAAATGAATTTGTTGCACAAACATCAGATGGCACCAGAGGAAGGGACAAGCAGGCAAACCAGCCTCTCCTTTAACATCAGTGCACAAGTGTTGAATCCAATAGAGTCCACCGACCGACGTGCCACTGTCTCTTCCTCGTTTTCCTGTTCATGAACAGGAAGCCAAAGATGGAGTTTGGAACACGCAAAGGAGAGAGCGAGAGGAAGACAGTAAAAGTTAATTTGAGGTTTGATAAGTAAACAATCGGGGGGAGAGAGATTGGGTGTTGAAGATTAGTGGTGGAGGCAGACGAGGGACGAGAGGAGGCACACGAGATGGTGTGAAAAAGTAAAAGAGGGATTTAAATATATGTTCCTGTTGTTCTTGTTACCAGACAGTCCAACCCGCTACAATGAGAAGGACCAGAGGAGCATGCTGGTCTGGTGTCCCAACAGTCACCTTTCTGATGCAATGTGTAAGCTCCACACTCACACCTGCCTACCTCACCTGACATTCACTTGTACAAGCTTGACAGAGTGACCTTCAGTTTAAAGGCTACATGCGGACTGGAGTACAGCAATTAAAACTTCATCTCTCCTTTTCTTCCTGTGCACTCGTTTTCTCTTACTCTGTGTTCATCTCCTTCCCTCACGTCTCTACATTTCTTTCTCATCTTTCTTTCTCCTTTTCATTAATGTCGGTTCCTTTCTTCTTTTGAACCCGTTGTTTCTCTCTCGTACCCAAGTGGACGAGTAATCCTGATGGCGAAAGAGAAACATGGATACAACATGGAGCAGGTACAGCAGCGCAACATGAAATGTCTTTTTACCACTTGTTTGTGCCCCCTCTCTCCTGATTGTCCTGGTTGCCTGACCCGGTGTTCGTCCCCTCTGACCTGTCAGGCTCTGGGCATGTTGCTATGGCACAAGCACGACGTGGAGCGCTCACTCGCCGACCTAGCCAACTTCACCCCGTTCCCAGACGAGTGGACAGTGGAGGAAAGTGCTGTTCGAGCAGGCTTTCAGCTTCCATGGCAAGAGCTTCCACCGCATCCAGCAGATGGTGAGAGACCAAAATAACACGCACTCAGAATATTCAGGACAGGAGTGAGTGCAACTTCAATATTTCTGTGTTTGTGTGTAGCTTCCAGATAAGCTGATCTCCAGTGGTGAAGTATTACTACAGCTGGAAGAAGACCAGGACCAGGACCTCGGTCATGGACCGTCAGGCCAGGAGGCTGGTCAACAAAAGAGAGAAAGATGACAGGTATGAGACACCATGAAACTTTAACCTGTCAAAACTGGGTCTGAAGGGGGAGGGATGGACAGAGGGAAGAAAGAACGGAAATATTTAAGTTGTCAGAACAACTCATCTGAGATGTGACATTTAAAAAATCCTTTTGATAAGGATGTCATCCTGGGAAACAGAGTCCGTGAATATGTATGAGATGCTTTGATATTATTTCTTGTAATTTTTAGTTGACATTTCGAGCGTTTTAGAAAGAGAATATTGGCTGTGGACAAATAGTTACGTTTTCTTTTTCTTGTAGTAATGATGATCTGGAGGAAGGTGACCCAGGCAGTGACAGTGACTTTGAGATTGACACCAAGAAAGAGGTGAGCAACACAGTAACGTGCGTGTGTGGTATATAAACAAATCTTTGTGTTTTATAGTCATGACTACCTGAGGAGATCAGCTAAATCAATGCCTTCTGTATTCTTCAATTTCCACTTTTTAAAAAATGTATCGGCACTCTTGAATTGCTGTTCTTGTAAAAAGGATAGAACCTGGTTTCTCCGTCACACAGGCAGTGAAACAGAACCCCAACAACGCCAGCTCTGACAAGGCGACCCCCAGC